TCCAAACGCAAAAGATACAAATGCTCTAAGGATTACAAAATAAATGGACCAGATCGTCGATTTCGCTATAATCGATCGCGTCCAAATCAAAGTAGCGTTTTGTGGTGGGTTTTGAAGAAATGGAATGTCGCAGTCGATCTTCAATGTCTCCAAGTTCTTTCTGTAGTCGTGCTGATATTAAATTGTTGAGGGCAGAGTCAAAATCGTCTCTTTTGCGTTTGGATTTTTTTTTGGAGTCAATGTTCCTGTTTTTCGAGGCCATTATAGATGCTCTCAGCTTTTCATAGATCAATTTCTCTTCATTCAATTCGGCGTGTTCCAGCATTTGAGTTTGGGGCTGCGAAAAATGGCTCATCAATTCTATAAATTTAAAATTTTTTAAATATTTCTGGCCTAATGTCCGTGTCGTCCTCACCCTCATGGTCCCCAAATGAGTGTGTGATGGAAAGACTGAATTTGGTATGCATTTTCCATGGTAACCATTAGCTTTATGATAAGATAAATATGGAGCGAAGCCAGTCGAAGCTTAAATTCATCAATCATGCGTCAGATACTCGGGATCTTTTTTGTGCAATTTCAAAAGTACCTTCTAGCAATGAAGAGCTTTTGGCAAAGATTCTTTGTACGTTTATTTCAATTAATGCAATGTTGCTAACCAATTGCATCGAGATTCAAAATGATCATTTGCCCATTGAGACCTCGGCCATGGAGTCTTTCTATGTTAGCCTTGTGAAGAATTTGGATCACTGCGCATCTCTGATATCCAATTCAGGCATCCGGGCTCGGTTTCTTAGTGCATATTTAAACGAGTTCGATATCATATCCAGTAGTGGCTTATTTACTTACTTATTAGCACTCAAGAACTGTCTATGTGTTGTCAAGCTGGCAACCGAGCTGCAGCTGTTGAATTCCATTTGGAAGGTCTCGATTAGAATTTTTGTGTTGTTCATTCAGCTGGTGGAATCTGGAAAGATCCACCCAGATCCGTCAAATCCATACGATCAGATCGACCTTCTGTTTGAGCTTTTATCAAGCAAAATTGGCGGCGTTGTTGCAAGCATTTGCTCGTTTGGAGCCGATGGACCAAATGCGGACCCTTCGTTTGATTTCAACGTTGCCATTGTAACACTGAAATTCTTCATGATGAATTTCTGCGCGCTTTTGAAGTACCACTCTTTCTTACTTGGAAGCCCCCTGGTGATATCGTTTTGTATTCTCATTTCGTCGAAAATTTTGTTTTTGAGGCAGCAATGGAACGCAACGCACGCGTTGAAAAACGCGGCTGTGGCAAATGCTAACATTGACCAGTTTATAGAGTTCATTAACTTGTTCTTTTCCAAAATCTCGTCAATCGACAAATTTTCCAAGTTCATTTCGGGGGTCATCAATCTTTTAAAAACAGATGAAATTGTTCTTTTGGCTTTCAAGGAGTTTTTATTAAGCGAATATGCGGGCTCGGTCGTTTCTCTGAGCGACCCGCAGCAGTCGTCGAATTTGTTGGACGGTATCATTTTGCTGATGAAGCACATTTACGTTTCAAGTACCGCTGCTAGCTTTTACTTTAGGATTTTCTTTCTTCTTTGAATCGTGCGATTGTGTTTGTACATGTATTATGCGCAGTCCGGCGATGTTTGACCTTTTTTTGGCGCAACCGATAAAGATATTGGCGTCCGATTCGAGCACAATATGCTGTTACCTTATGGCTTCTGCTTTGCTTCAATATGTTGTTCCTCGTCTGGATTCATCCATTTCGCTGGCCATTTTAAACCTGCTTTTTGACAGGGTCCTTACATTTTCGGTGTCAAATAGCGTACAGTATTTGATTCTCAAGGATGTGGTCTCATCTTTAACCAACAATGTGAGAAATGCCGTCTCGACAAACTGGAAAAAATCACTGATTGAGACTTGTTTCTTGTTGGATCTTTTTGATGCTTCTATTTTGCCAAAGTCCCAGCTTTCTGCTAGATTGGACTGTTTCCGGGGCTTTTTAGAAAGCCTCATTTTTTCGCTGGGAGCATTCGAACCAAATATGCCCCCAGACCACCCAAACACACTTAAATATCTCAATGCGCTTTTGCTTTTATTTGTCTCTGTTTTGACCAAGCAACCGGCAAAAATTTGCATTAAGCTGGAAACAGAATTTCCGCTTTCAAGATTTTCAGGCTTTTGCTTCCAAGATAACTTGGCCGCCGTGTTGACACTTCTAAATGTACCCTTTGATGGCGCTAAATTCCCGCTGTTTTTGTTGTTTGTTTGTAAAAACAATTCCATGGTGCTTCCACCCTCGCTTGCGATGCAGCGTTTGGGAGATCTGTCCACCGTGATGGGATCTGCCTTATCACACAGCTTTCTTTCCGTGTGCCGGTATTTCCTGCGATCATCCATCGTTCCTGACGGCTCGAATATAAGCTGCATGGGATTCTCCCAATTTCTATGTGATAGTTTGCAGTGGTTCAAACTGTACACATGCGATCCGATTGTTGCTGAAAACGCTGGCCCTCGCCACATTGAGGACCACAAAATCAGTTCACAGCTGTCTATCAATCTCAATGAGATTACAAAAATCCTACCCAAAGTTACGTTGGGCACCACAGGCGTTGCCATCAATGGAGAGATTGAAAACCACATACACTCGCTGTCAAACTTTATTAAAAGGGCAACCACGACACAGAAAGATGAGCTCTCAAAAAAACTAATCAGACTGATAGAGACCATTAACAACGATGAAATAAATTAAATGCTACCGTGCGTCCGACTTGCTATGATGCTTGGGCCGTTTGGCGATGTGTGTCTTTTCAAGCAGACAGTTTTTCAAATAGATTTCGCTGTATTGATGAAAGGCCGACCAACGGTCCTCCAGCTTCCGGAATGWATTCCTCTTACATTCATCGCCAAAATGGCCCTTTTTTGCACAGCAAAAGCAATACGAGTTCAAGGATCTGAAGCACCGGTCCAGGTCTGCTGATTTGAGATGCGCAGAAAGCGAAGCGTTTGCATGGGATCTATTGTAAATGTAATTTCTCCAACTTGAGGCAGAACAAAACTTGGACGTGTGGCCTGGGTTATCACAAAGGGTGCAAATATCGCGCTCGGAGGTAAACCTCCTTCTTTGGGAGGGACAATCCTTGGATTGGTGCCCAAGTAGCTTACAGTTAAAGCAAATTTGATTTGGGCACTGTTGGCGAGAGTGGCCATGAACAATGCACATCGAGCAGGAGATTTCGGAAGCATCTGCCGAACAATCTCTGGAAATGTGGCCCTGTAGCCCGCAATTGTAGCATTTTGCATTGGATCCTTTTTTCTTCCCAAAGTATCTGTTACTTTCTTCATCGCCTTCGATTTCCAGGTTTAAATCGGCGTCAGAGCCGATCTCCAATGTATGGTTGTCTTCCGAAGAGATCGAGTAATCCTCTTCCTCTTCCGGGGTGGCATATTCCAAAGAGCTAGAGTCCGAAATCGAGGGCCCGCAAAGTTTCGAATTCAAGTCAAAAACATTGCCGTTCCGGAGAATATTTGCCTTTTCCAGCACAGAATCAGGCCCTGCATCCGGCTCTGAATTTCCGGCGGGAAAGGGGGGCAACGGGCTGCTTTTCCTTTTCTGCCTCTTTTTGGCCGCTTTTTTAAGAGAACCCCCAGATGGCACCTTATGGGTATAATATAGCTGAGCCATCATCAAATCTCGAGCAGCATCCTCCTCCTCGGCAAGCATGGTTGATTTGAGGAGAAAGTAAAATAAAATTTTCTCGGAATATTTATTTAATTTATGGGCCCAGTTGATTTTGCTAGCTTGCCCATGGCTCTATCCTTACGAAAATGCGATTTTCTCAAGTGCGGGGCCTTCTCTTTTGATTGGCCCTTATGTTTTGAAGAATTCGAAGCTTGGGGCTCCTTTTTGTCGGCAATTGACGCCTGTTGCCCTGTCCACATAACTGCAGCATTGGGATCAAGATAATCAGTTGTCGAGATTGTGGTTTTTTTATCTGAGGATGCTGTTAAATTGATCCTTGCCCAGCCTTCTATCTGTTCGTCGCTTAATTTACACTTGGCTTTCAAAAGCCTCCTTTCAGGAGAATTTCTGGCAGACCTCAAAAATGCTTTAGCATTTTCTAAATATTCTCCCCGCAGTATTGCGTCCAGACCAGCCCCGCTACCTTTGCCCTCTTTGTCTTCATTTTGGTCTTCAGAATCGTCAAATCCAGATGATATTCTCGGAAGTGTGGTGAGCTCAGAATCCTCAAATTCCAGGCCATTGTATTGCGAAGATTGTGTGTTTGATTCCACTATGACCCGAATCTTGGTTTTTAAAATCTCATTGAGATCCGAGCCTAGATAGGGTTCTGAACCTTCGCTATTTTTCATATAGATCGTTTCTTTAGAAATAGACTCCGTATTGGGCACATCTTGATTGCTTATCCTTGACAAGGATTCGAATGCATGTTGTGGATCCCAGTTACAATCGACAAGAATGTTTTCAATTGACGTCTCTGGAATGTTGGGAAAAATTTCCTTTAAATGTTCGATTAAGCGAGTATGCCTATTGGGATCATCATCACTTTCATCAATGGCCATGTTCGTAGCAAGCTCGTTCAGTGTATCATCATTTAGTATCGAAACAAGATTTGTGTTCTTTATTTCACAAATCCATGCAGAAAGATACTCCTTATGACTCTTTAAAAACTCTCTTCCCATTTCAACCGCATTGGTACTTTTAGGCAAAAGCACAGAAGACGGAAATGGAATTACCACAGGCCCTAGCGACTTTGATAGCTTGGTACAGAATTCGGTATTCAAATTGAACCCCACTTGCGAAATGTCAATCTTGGCTGCAACATCAAAAATAAACACAAAAACGATTAACAGGATCGCATAAATATGAGACCTAAACAAAGCGTTAAAAAAGGGCAACGTGGGCACTTCCGACAGGCAGAATCCCAGTATTTGCAAAAGAACGCCCAAATTTGCTTTCGAAGTTAAGATTAATTTAGGAAACACTGACACCAGCAAACCTAGAGATTTGAGATCAGCCACCATCTTTAAAATTTCCGCATGCGATGTTTTAAACCCCGGGCTCTGGAGACTTTGACGCAATGACTGCAGTAACCGTGTAAACTCTATAGCGTCCAGCTCAAAGATAGACGGAAATATTGTGCCCCTTAGTTGCGTTATTCTACATATGATATTGTGATTATCTTGACTAGTAAGAAGAAGAATATCAAGCAAATCAGCTAGTGGGAAATACTCGAGCATATCATCGATCGTGATTGCGGGTTCATTTTCACAGCGGGGTTTGGAACATTTCAACGAGAGACGCTCGAATTCTGAAAAATCAAAGCCACAATGCATGGGATTTTGTTTATGGGACGTGTTTTTGACATCGTGAAGCCTGGTCAGTATCGACAAATACAGGTGGATGGATTTGCGTAAAAGCCGATCAATAGAGCTTCCCAGCTCAGAAGATGCATCCGAAAAGGACAGAACGCTGGGTACAAGTCCGTCCGAATATAACTCGAATTCTTCCTTTGAAAAGGACCTAATGCATACAAGAAGAAGGGTGCATGAAAACACGGAACCAAATTTTTCGGAAATATGGGGAAGCAGTTGCTTCAACTCGGATATCGTGCAGCTTGTGTCATTTTCAATGAAAATCTTTAAATCGTCAAACGAATTCACAAGAGCGTTAAATGCGCCCGTGTTGTTGGCGTGTTGATCTAAAAGATCGACACTGAAAAATATGGGTACAAAATTTTCCATAAAATAATTTTGTTATTTGCCAAAATAAGGAATTTAATTTTTCCACACATGAATAATCCAAAATATGCAGAATTTAAAAACCGTATGTCAGCCGCCAAATCATGTAGTTAGAATTCAGAATTGCATTGCCTGAAAAGTTCACGTTTCGCGCTTGCGTCAAAGGACGGTGGTTTGGAAAACGAATCAGCCAAGTATTTAATTCGGAATTTCGAGCCAAAAGCGTCGCATATTATGTATCAATTGCCATTCTTTTACGTATTAGAAAGAGCTGCTTGAAAAGGGGCGTATTTCTCTTAATGGGAAAGTCACCTTCACCGATGATGTTCTAAAGCCAAATGATTTTCTAGAACATGCCATTCATAAACACGAACCAGCAGTGACCATTGAGCTGCCCAAAGTGATTTCACACCAAGACGGGCTGTTGGTTGTGGATAAGCCGCCATTGATACCTGTTCATCCTACTGGCCTTTATTTCTCAAATACGGTCAATGAAATTCTACGAAGTCTCTATGGATTCACTTTTTTAGCGAGTAACTTTGAAGCTTAATCCTAGACATAAATAGGCTAGATCGACCCACATCGGGCCTGCTCCTGATAGCCACCAACCAAGAAAAAGCTTCTGAATTGGCGCAAATGATGCGGGGAAAGCAGATCCAAAAGGAATACGTTGCCAAAGTAAATGGCACATTTGCAGGCGCTCCTGATTTGCCTTGGATTGACACCATACGTGATGACCAAGGAGTTGAATGGATTGCATGCTCAGCGCCGCTTTTAAAAATAGAACACAAACTTGGGCTTTGCGCTGTTTCTGAACAAGGAAAGGAGTCTCTGACCCTGTTAAGGCTGCATGCTTACCATTCTGTTAGCAACTCTTCGATCGTCATATGTAAGCCAATTACGGGGCGCACGCATCAAATCAGGGTACACCTTCAATATTTGGGTAATTTAACGCCGCTTGTAACTTTAAGGATACCCGATCATTGGAGACACCCTTTATGCAGATCCCATGTGGCACCAATATGCCAAAAATGGATGTGTACACTTAGATGACATCTGGAAAATGAGCTTTATTTTGCAAAATTCAAACCTTCCTAATTACAAAGAAGACGAATGTGCAGAGTTGGACATCGAAGCCGAGAGGCATTTGCAGCAGTCGAAAAATTGTCTTCCCCAATGGTTCGACCCAGAATGCATGGATTGTAAAGCTCAATGGGTGAGGTCTTTTCACGATCCCGAAATTCCCTTACATATTCCCATTGGATGCCCAGAGTCTCCTCCCCAACCTTTATGTCTGCATTCATATAAATATTGTACCGACATGTGGAGCTATTCAATCCCTTGGCCCGGTTGGGCTAAACTTCATTAAATTAAATGCTTTAATAAATTAAAATTTCATTTTAAACCGGATTTTTAATTTCCAAATGGTAGGCACTTGTGCAGTTTCTTTTTGATATCCGTGTTTTCATCTATCATTAAATGCTTCTGTAACGAACAATGGGGCAGCTATTCTATTTGAAATATCTTTACAAATGCGATTTTTTAGTTTCTGGTCCAGCTCTAACCTTTTAGGCCAAAAGAACAAAGAAAGTCGGAGTCGTTGGAAAGTATGGAACTCGTTATGGTGCTTCCCTCCGTAAACAAATCAAGAAGATGGAAATCACTCAGCATGCTAAATACACATGCTCTTTCTGTGGAAAGGTATTTGTTTTTTGTCTCAATTTCGTGTAGGACCGCGTAAAGAGAACTGCTGTTGGCATTTGGGAATGCCGAGGATGCAAAAAAGTTATAGCCGGTGGCGCCTGGGTTCCCAGGTAATTTTGTAAAGCTATTCTTTAGCACTACCACTGCTTCTGCGGTCAGAGGTACTATCAGACGTCTTCGCGAGTTGGCTGAAATCTAATTTATCATTTCAGTGTTACATAAACAAAGTCCCTTGACATTTATTAGTTATGTTTATACCCATTCTATAAAGCACCTATGTTTTTTGGTGTCCATAGTTTTTACTTCCGTCACGGTTGTTGTCTGACAAACCTTGATGGCGGTCCGGCGCATCATTAAATTTGCTTTTGGATTTTTGTTTTTTGAAGAATGGAAATTCTTCTCGTGGGCGTTGGTGCACTTGGCTGTGAGATTTTAAAAAACATCTCGTCTTTGTTCATAGCGGATGCCTGCATCACAGTTGTAGATTTTGACACGATTGAGTACACAAACCTTAATAGGCAATTTCTTTTCCGGGAAGAAGACATTGGATCGTATAAATGCCACGTGGCCATCAAGAGATTGTCCCAATTTTTTCCAAAGCTAACGATATTTGGGTAACCGGTCATCATGTACTAACCGCAAAGATATTCGCAGCGAATAGAAAACATGTCTCTGGAATTTCTCGAGAAATTCGATGTTGTAATTTCAGCAGTCGACTCTTTATCTACCCGATTTTGGCTGTCATCTGTTTTATTTTCGTTGATCAGGGAAGCAAACAAACATCCCCTGTTCATAGATTGCGGAACTGAAGGTATAGTTGTTGCAGGACCGATTTATAGGATTGTTTGGCCACATATTCAGCACGAGGGTTGGCCAGGGTCCATGCTTAGAATGCATTTCTAGTCTGTATGCACCAAGATCTGTCGATCGTGCCTACTGCTCGGTTAAGAACTCTTTGGATTCTGTTCAAAGCATCATCTTGTGGGTGTTATATGTGTTGTGGGACCAGGAGTTGCCATTTGGCGCGATTGCTGAATTTACGTTTGCCAATCAAGACCATTTGGATTGGATAGTCAAAAAGTGCATGTCCATTCAACGGCAATCATTTGCAGAAAGTGACTTTATTAACGAGCTGACCTCCCTGCACATAATATCTCCCGCCTCGATCAGCATATCTGCCACGGTTGCAGGCATCGCCTGCTTGCAGGCGTTTAGCCATTCAAAAGGGAGCACCAGTTCACCCCCAACGTTCACATATGTTTCTTTGAGGGACTCATCCTATGTATATAATTTCACACCGGAGGTGTCGCCCACCTGCAGCTATTGCACTATTTAAATGCGATCAAAGTGAACATTGAAGGCATCGTGTGTTCCTCCATTGGTGCATGGATTTAAATTAAGGTTCCCAAATCGGGACAATAAAGAAAGCGTTCAATTGCAATCAATTGTTTCCAAATTTCCGGTTAAGGTTTGCATCAATTTGGATTTTGATTTCGATTTTTGATGTCTTTACTTTGTGCCGAAACGATCATATTTGGCCCTTTTTTTATTGTTTGCTATTCAGTTATCGCAGCGGCAGATATTTATTCATCTCTCGTCAAAGCGTCAAAGGCAAGGCATATGACTTTTATTTCAGTCTTTCATAGATCATCACTTCCATCATTTCCTTCCTTTTATACCGCTGTCCTATGAATACAAATTAAGAGATACCCTCTCCACTGCCAGCTCGTACCAGGAGTGGCTATCGATTGCCCAAAGACTGGACAAGTACATTTGCATGCTTTTAGTTAAGGGAAGTTTCCTGGGATGCTTGGAAGCAAGATTCCTCCTCCGTCTTTTATGACGATTTATTTATCCAACATCGATACAACCATCTAAAGCAGCTTATCTCGGACAATGAAATCAAAAATTTGATCATTTTTTTGGCCTCCGGTATCGCTTTACTGGCATCATTGATAGGGCATATTCGAAATTTGGGAGGAATTTCAAACTCCAATTTGTACACAAAGTCGTACACGGGAACAAAAAAGCTGATCGAAGATTATTTGGACATCGTGTGTCAATCCTTCAACGCCATCTATGTGTCGCAGTCCAAGGCATCCCCAAATTCCTATGCACCAGACGCCGGCAACGGCACCCATGGGTTTGACGCTTCCGCGTCAAAAGACCACTTTGCACCCAATTACGTGTATCGGTACTTTTGCGAATCGCTTCAATCTCTTGGTCGCTCTGCCCTCATTTTGATGGGCGGATTTTCGCTTGGCATGTATCATTTGGGCGTTGTCAAAGCGCTGTATTTGCAAAACATCCTGCCAGATATCATTTGTGGGATTGATATTGGATCGTTTGTTGCTGCGTTGATCTGCTGTGTCCCTCCTGAAAGGCTCGAAAAATTGCTTTTAAACCCAATTGAAATGATCAATTTTGACGTTTTTAAAGGCATTTCAAATGAAGGATCGATGAACAGGAAAATTGCAAGATACTTGCGCTATGGCCACTTTTTAAACATTAAAACCCTTGAATCGCTCGCAAGATCCAATATTGGCGACGTTACGTTTTTCGAATCGTTCTTGATCTCTAAAAAGATCCTCAACATTACGGTCTCTCTCGGGATGAACAAGGACATAAATTATATGCTTAACTATTTAACGGCTCCAGACATTGTATTGGGCCTTTTTTACACTTAGGTCGTTTGGAGTGCCGCCTGCGCTTCCGCCTCCGATTGCGGGCTATTTGGTGGAATCCAAATATTGCGAAAAGCGGCAGATGGCTCTTTTATTCCATGGAATCCATTAGGTTTGGGACGATGAAACAATCGGTTACCTTTAGAAATTCAAAAGGCTAGCAAATTGTGTGTTCCATTCAATCTGAAGTCTCGACTGGCCTCGCTATTCAACGTCAATCACATCATCATTTCTAAAGTTGTTCCTTACCGGGTTTCCTTTATTGACACCCTTTTCCCGAGATTGCCAATCCCAGCTTCTGCGCCTCTTACCACAAAGTTTTTCGGATTTGTCTATTCGGAGTTCAAACACTTTCTGTACCAATTGTATAGCCTTCGGCTTTTGCCCTCCATTTTTGAGAGCTTTTCGACACATTTCCACCCCATCGATGGCCTATACGAGCGTGTTGGGCTATCTGGCGGCGATTCCGAATTGACCCTTGTGATCTCGCCAAGGTTGAGCTTCAAGGATGCCGTCCACATGTTCAGCATTCCCACGGCAGATTTGCTGGTGCGTACGTTGCTCAAAGGGGAGCAAACTATTTGGCCAGAGCTGTCCAAAGTTTCCTCCCGAATGAAGGTTGAAAAGCTCCTTATTTCGATCATCGACTCTCTCCGGATGGAGCAAAAGTCGCTGTTTCAGAAAAATCTTTCTTCTTTGCCAGCCTCGAAGGGTCGAGGCAGGATGGAAAGATCGGGATCGCAAAGTTGCTTGGTGTCTCCAAAAAAAGGCCGGACCAGATCATCGAGCGTGCACTAGAGAAGCCTCGTAATCTAATAAACTTGCATTTCTATGTGATTTATTTATGACTGCCGCCGTATGAGAGAAGAACGATCTTTAAAACCAACGATGCAATGGAGCCCAAAGCAACGGAAAGAACGAGACCCAACAGCATGTAAAAGGAGACCCGGATTTTGAAAAGGTTATTGCTAACCCTATTTGGGGCCTCGATCAAAAAAAGAGTAGTCAAGTACCCAGAGGAGACGCCAAACAACAACGTATTTGCCATAACTATGTAATCTGAGGCCAAAAGCTTGGGCAGCGGGTTTAAATGGTGTCCGCCAAAGTCAACATTCCCGAATAAATACAAAGGAACATGGAGGAATCTAAGCAACGAAACCAAGAAAAGAAGCCGATCCACATGTATGAACATGGCCGGAAAAGACAGGATTATGCGGCCAAACCAGTCTCCAACATTGAACAGAAGCAAGACAAATATGGTGAAAAATTGGCCGTTAACGGGTTCAGAATAGCTGGGATCCGTCGATTTGGTCATTTGCGGCCAAGATGGGAACAAGAACATAGTTTGAAAGCACACGATAAAGTTGCACCACCATAGGCATCTGACGCTTGAGTTTTTACTTGACACAATGGAACAGAGTTCAAACAAGGAACATTTACCTCTCGATTTGGAAGGGCCCAGGGCTGCGTGATCGAACGGATCAGGCGGCGAGTATGATGCCCCTTGCCGAAAGTATTTGACATCTTTCTCATCAATGATGTGGTAGGCTTTGGGCTTAAAAATGGATGAGGAATACTTCATGTAGAAGAAAAACGAAAGGGACGAGAAAAAAAGCAGCAAAGCAGTGAAGAAAAAATACAAAAACGAATCCGAATCAGTAGGGGCCCTGTGCACAAGCCCAGTCGGCGGGGCATGTAGGTTTTCCTGAAATATTTTGATCGTAATGAGCTTGGCAATGCAGGTGATCATGCCGGCAGTTCCTTGCCCCAGTGAAATGGCCTGTGAGAAGGGTTTTGGCAGCGTAGACAAAATAGCATAGTTTCCAGTGTACAGGAAAACCGAAGAAACAGAGGCCAAAAATACGAGAGCCATCGAGGATACGATGAAAATGGCCTCTGGAAGGTTCTGTGAAACCGAAATAAGTGAAAAAACAACAAAGACGAGACAGCACATGAGGTTGGAAAGGAAGACCTGTGCATGCGGGGAAACCTACGGATGCTTAGCGATGTGCTAATGTTACCCGATCGACAATCACGGAAGAAAGAAAAAAGAATGCACACCTCGTAATAGTGAAAATAGAAAACAACACCTCTGTGATGAGCAAGGAATATGCATTGGATTCCAGCTTGCTGTTAAAAAACTCGGCAGAGTTTACCAGGGCATTCCATACAAACACCAGGGAGAGACCTTGGATGAAAAAGATCACACACGTAAGATTGCTCTTTGTAAAAAATCCAATTTTCCTGGTCTCGCGATGCGGGTCTTTTCTTTCCTTCATGCGCGGCACAAATGTAGACGAGTCCAGCGAATCAAATGAATCCTCCTTCCGCTCGTAGCCTGCCATTGGATTAAATTTGAAATTGCATTCAAATTTATCCAATGCTTCTTAAGCGCACATTTTTTGGCCTTAATGAGCCGGCTTTGTGGCTCTCATCATTTTGATGAATTCTGCCGAGGCTTCTCGGCTGAGATACCACACCCCACTGCTATTTCAGCCCTGTACATATCTTGGATCGCCGCGCAGGATTCTGAGTGAACAATCAGCGTCTCTGCCGATCAAGGAGGGCTATCAGCCCAACACCTCAGCCGCCAAGATATCGACCGCCACGGCTTCTTTTGATTGTGTTTTGTATTTTATCATCTTTTTTCAAGGCCTTTCGCACGTTTTTGCCACCAACGCCATAATGACTTCCAGCCATTTTTTCTTATCCAGGACATCGGGCTCTTTGTTTGGCTACTTGACCATGGATCTGTTAATTTTGATTCTTTGTGCGGGAAAAATTTTGTTTTTGTGCTTTTCGTCCGCCATTTCGACCCTATTTAGCCCCTACTCGATGCTTCTTTTTAGCCAATTTGGCAAGGCAACCGTTCTGTTGTCGCTCTCTTTTTTGGCACTGTTTTCCGGAGCCAACGGAACCGTTTTCATCGTCCTGGTCGCCATTTTGGGCTTCCATTCGGCAGTGCTATCGGCAATTTCATTTTTAAGCATATTCTCAATGCTGTCTCAGGTTCACGCGCGATATACGCATGCCTATTACAATGGACAGGGAATAGCCGGCATGCTTTCGTGCTGCTTCAAATTGATCACCATGATCATGGTAGTCCCCTTGAATAGCCGTGCTTCGCTCTTTTTTGGAGGCTCCGATTTTGGCGTGTTTTTGTACTTTGTCGTGTCTTCTGCAATCGTTTACATCTCCGCGATTCTATTGTTGGCTAAAAAGAAAGATTTCACTTCAGCAGATGCTCTTCATGCAACTGAGAGCCCTAATGGCATAAATGGCGAGGAAGATTTTTCAGACCAGCCATCAGAGGTAAAGGAAATCGCTTTGAAGCTGAAATCCAATTTGTACTTTGAAGCTGGCGTCGGGTCGCCGCCAATTGCGGTGGTGAGCCCTCAAATACAGCACCAAGAATTGACTTGTACATCTTCCTTTGATTCGCACGGAAATCATACCGAAACGCCGGCATCTTTGCTTGGAAACTATTTTCGCGTATATCGAGAAATCCGCGTCTATTTTTGGTGCGTCGTATTTCATTTCTTTGAGGTGATTTTTTTCATCCCAAATTTCCTGTACATGGTAAAGCCCACCACGGTATTCCCTGTTGATGCAAACAACAGCGCGCTTTCGATCTTGAATGCGGAAACGTTTCCCGTGATTACCTTTTTCTTTTACAACCTTGGAGATGTATTTGGTCGCTTCATTTTAAGATACCCCGCCGTTTGTTTGAAGGGCAAAGCAAGTCTTACCTTCTTTACGGTCGTTAGCATGGGGTTCATTCCATTGTTTTTTTTCAGCAATGTTTCGGACATTGTCACCAGTGAAAAGACCATCGAGTACCCGATTGCTAGACTATTGTCTGGCGATGGCTACTTTTTGTTCCTTGTTTGTGTGTTTGGATTTTTTAGCGGATATTTATCTTTAAACCTGTTAATGTTCGTGCCTAGATCGGTTACATCAGATACAGACAGGAGGATTGCATCGATACTATGCGTGTATGGAATCAGCTTTGCGCTTTTCGGGGGGTCTTTCATCTCTTTATTTCTAAAATCGTTGTTGTTGTTTTTCGGGTAATTTAACTTAGCGCCTTCTATTGGTGAGTGTTTTTGTAAGCTCCACAAGAAAATTAATGCTATCATCGGCCGGAGTTAGAGATTTTTTGATCAGCTCCAACTGTGCCAATGCCCGTTCTTGGTATTCTTTCGCTAAGAACTTTGCCTTTTCAATAGCTTTCGTTCGCTTGGTTATGATTTCAAAGGCCAAGTCAATTTCCCCATGATTGGCAAATTCGCTGTCATAAAGACGAGCCAAAGTCGGGTCCTCCTGGATTGCATACAAAAATGGAGCCGTAAGGTGCCCATCAATGAGGTCCTTAGCGGTGGTTTTTCCAAAATCCTGTGAAGAAACTTGGTAATCCAAAATGTCATCGACTATCTGAGATTTAGGAGATATTTGGGGGTACCTGAAAAGCGATTCCAAAATTCTTTCCAAACTCAAACGATGCCTTTTGTAGCTGCTCCGACTGGCCCGCCAATATTGAGGCCGATTGAAAGCTTTTGGCCATCAGGCAGGCTGTTTTCCGGTAGCTCTTTTCCAAATAATAATCGAGAGAAAATTTCTCGTTCGGAGGAACATCCATTTGCATCAACTCTCCGCGCGCCAAGTCGCATATTATCTGACACATCAAGTCGAAAATATGGAGCGAATTTAGCCGAGCCAAAAGAATGGCAGCCGATGCCAGCAGATAGTCTCCAGAAAGTATGGCAGCTTTGTTTCCAAACAAAAACGGTGCCGAAAGCAAAGATCTTCGAGAATGTGCGTTATCAATCACGTCATCGTGCATCAGAGATGCAGTGTGCATCAGCTCAGAAATCTGCGCTAGTTTTTGGAACGAAGTCCATGGGGCCGCACTTGAATTTTGTTTGAAATAGCTCAAGGACAATAAAAGAATCATCAATGGACGCACCCGTTTCCCACCTGCTTGCAGGTAGTACGAATTAACGGTGTTCAGAAGGGGGTGTCCCTCATTTCCAATGGTAGCTTTTAGCTTGAAAAAGATCGAGGCAAAATATTCTTTCTCTGATCGGCCGTCAATAAACTCCTTACCAGCCTCCGACAAAAACCCACCAGGAGAATTGAGAAGGCCAGAGGCTGATGCTTCGTTAAGATGCCGTTCAGCGCTGTACAGTATGGAATCCCATGAATTGCTGCAACAAGGTAAGCGCTTCTGAACAGAAGGGAATGCTTCAATTTGAGGTGAATTGCCATCTAGGTTGTGACGCGTATTTTGCAGATCTTGGGTAATAAACGGATTAAGAATGGGTGGCGCTTTTTTCCTAAACGGGGCTTGCAAAAGCTTTCCTTTCATAGATGTTAGCCATTTCACAGCAATACTAAAGGAAGCCCTTGAGCGATAAAGCGGCCCATTATAGCATGTACAATTGGATGACACGAAACATTTCATTTTAATTGACGAAATTTAAAGAAATTATCCCTGATGACCGGGCCAATTTAAAAACACAACCCTAGTCAATCAAACATAAATTAAGTTGCTTTGCACCGATTTTTTGCATCACTATAAGCTTCAAGCTGTCTTCCCTGGACTGACATGTGCATTCGTGTGCTGCAGTTCAAGGAAGTATTGCATCAGCATTGAAGTGAGTCATATTATGCAATAAAAACCATCTTCTCTGTTTTCATAAATCTATGTGCTAACCTTCGGTTACGTCCCAACATGATTTGCCACAGAGTCGATGACATTCCTCATTAAAGAATTTCCATAAGTCCATTGCACTGTTTGTCTCTGGAGTAGTATAACCAATGCGTTTCCATCCATTTGTCTGTCTAGCTTTCAATAGGCGCTCGATGTAAATTAAATTTATGTTTATCTTCTTTCATCCTCCGCCGTCCCTTGACGATTCCAGATGTTCAGAGGTTGACCCGTCGCTTTTTACGGATGCCGATCGATTGCTTGGTTCGTTTGAGATCATTCGTCAAAGTGGCACCTATGTTTGTTGTTCTTATCTCCATCCAAATGTGTTAGAATTGTCGCAATATTCATCCTTTCTCGCCTTCAATGACATCGAGAATCTATCGATGCTGGTACATCCGTCACCGCCAAAGAAACTACAACAAAGCCAGACAATCCTTTTAGACACGAATGCGGTAGAAGTAGCTCAAAAAAGCGGGAATTGCCCAAAATTTATATCAGGCTATCCCGTTTCGCAGCTTCTGCCTGTTCTTAATCATGTGCAAAAGGCTGACTCTTACACGATTGCAAATCTGCTAGTGATGGTTCTGCAGGTGATGCCCTTAGAAGACGCCACTACATCGACAACACTCTCTAAGAATAGGATGTTGATATGGGTGGCCGATCCTACTTTGGTTTATTTTCCCATTTACATTTGGAACGTCACGAAAAACACTAGCCTTTTGCATGCCGGCGAAATTGTTTTTTGGACACAAATTTTCATAAGGGCTAATGCTGGTAGGGAAATTATTTCAGGGCATGCTTCGTCGGCTTCAAAGATCATTCAATTTGGAAAACTTGATCCAAAGGCGGCCAACGATCCCATCATGTCGTATTTCTTTGAAGACAAGCAGGAGGGAAAAAACCTTGTTAAAAAAATGTGCACAGAATATCTGCTTTTTTAAGTGGCTTTTTCTACTCGATTTACTTGTTTAAGTTTTGGGAGGCTTTAGCGACCTCCATCTTGTATTTTGAAGATRTTATTAAATGCACGCCAAAAAGAATGATTGATAGCGCAACAATTTTTCGCAACACGATCTCTTCATTGAAGAACAGTGTCCCAAAAAAAAGGAGAAAAGAGCATTGGCTGCCATTTTTATGGCCACCAGATCAGAAGAATCGGATTTTTCTGTAGATTATCATGAAATGACATACTTGATTCCAGGGACGCGCAGAACGCCAGCGAATAGAAATACCACATCATCCCGTTAACGAGTATGTTTATAATAATCCAAAGCAAAAAATTTACATAACCGAACGTGTGCGATGATGAGGACGGCAAAGTAGCCACAAGTTTTGCCAAAACTCCGCCAAAGGCACCAAGGGAGCCGGCAAAAATAGCATAAATGTATTCTTGAAGCATAAAATGGTCTAATTTAAGCTTATAAATACATTTACGCTTAAATGGAGCCTTTAATCCAACCATTAACACCAGCAGTACGTACAGTCAAATTCGGCTCAAGTTAGGTTAAATAACGTAGGCCTTGTAACAAAAATTAAAATACAGGCCCACAGCTTATTTGACCAGGCCATCAAATCATGGCAGACCCCGTGTTCCTTTGGATGGACAGGGAGATCCAGAGGATGCGAAAGCATGCAAAATACTTTCAGGTGCCTGATTTGGTGGTGCTCGATCTCCCTATTGTGATTGGCTTTGCGTGGGCTATTTGGCAGTAAATCCAACTCTGTTTATTTGTTTTCATATTTAAAATTGCAGATTTTTACACTTTGTGGGGCTAGGAGTTGCGGCAGATATTCTAAAATGGCGCCTCAAATTTAATAGGGTCTCTTGTATTTCCATGCTTCAAGATAAAGATACAAAGATCCATTTACATGGCAGGTTAAATTCAGCATTTTGAAAATTTCCAAGTGCAAAGCTAATAAATCCTTTGGTTTAGAGTAGCTTTACTCCTATTTTTCATTCGAAATGTATTTGTGTGGCAAGCCATGGGTTCAAGAAATGCTGTATTTTCGGGTCCCGTGGTATTTCTTTGAATGTTTCTTGAATTTCGTACGATAATAACATCATTTTCTCGGGATGTGCATGTTGAGGTTATGAATGTTGAAGATTTACTCCTACAAAGGATTATAACCATGGTGGTGGAAAGAATCGTAAAAGAAACTATCGCAATAGCGGCTCTTATCATGGGGCTTTTCGCCCATCTTTTGTGCTCTTCCTTTTCCATTTGCATAAAACTACAGGATTGGTGGTGCAAATTAATTATCCGCAATTTAATCGTGTTTAACTGGCCGAACCGTTAAAAACGATTCAAAATTCAAACGGATATGAGATAACCATAAATAAACCTGGTAAAATATTATTTTGCGCACATGGTTGTAATAGGTCACCTACTATATTAACGAGGACATACAGACTTGGGTTGAAGTGGTGTGTGCACGGCTTTTGACATCTTTTAGGGCTAGGGTTGAGGGCCAGGTAACAGCATCCAAATAAATAATGTTTCAATTTTTAATTCAAAATTTGACCTTTTATTCAAGTTTATCTCCCCGGGGATGCTGAACGAGAAGGTCGATCAAGTCGCCCAGCCGATTGTCCGGTTAACCGATTTGATAGGTGTCATATCGGATGAGTTCCAGCCCTCATTAAAAATTATCGATTCACGAGTCATAAGTAAGGATGTTTTATCCATTTGAAATAGATAGTGATATCCATGTTTGGTCAACCGACATTTCTGACGAGCGTTTGCTATCTGGACCAAACTCAGAAGCAGATGCAAGACGACCAAACGGCATGCACAATAAGAAACCATCTAAAAGGGTCCAACAAAAAATGGGCCCAATTGTATTGAACATCAGGTCTATTGTATCATCTTTGGCTAATCCCAATCGATGGAAAAGGTCACCGCAAAATCACCAACATGCCAATGGTATTTACGGCCGAACAACAAATCCCTCAATATCCTGTAATCCGCATGCTGGACCCGTAATTTCCGATGCTTATTTGCGAAGAAAATTACTGACTTCTCAGGATGAAGACTTGCTCCGCTTCAATCCAATTTATTGGAATGCTTGGGAAGATAAAATCTCATGGGAAGAGGGGGAGGGAGAAGAACAGGAAAATATGAGTGTGTTTTCCGCATCTGCACACTCGATCTCGCAAACCCCCACCGGATCAATAGGCTCTCTACTCGTTTCAACAGGCCATAACACCCCAAAGTCCAGAAATGTGTCTTCTGGAATGCTGCTAGATACATCGCTTATTCCAAAGATCACAATTACATCTCCCGTTCGCACCTCATCCCAAAATGTCTCCAGACTTGGCGAGTCTTCCACCAGGCTTTTGTTGCAGGAGGAGAATTCCAGGCACGTTGGAGAATTATCATCATCACCACTTGACGATGTCTCTTCATCTCCTTCCAAACCATCACCCTCATCAGCATCTCAGCCCCCTCCACCACCATTATCATGTTCATCTTCAGATTCAAATCGCCTCTTTGGTCCAAGTACTTCTTCATTGTCGCAAAATAGCAGGGGATCGTTACTGGATAGATCTTCAGCAGCTGATGGCCTTGTAAAGACCTTGAAGTCGAAAATACTTAACTCAGTGCTAGCTAGTGGCGCTTGGGATTCCTTCATTGTTTGGGATGAGGATAATATTAAAACCGACGGCTTCCATGCCTTTTTCCAGCCCTACCTCTCTGAAATGGATCCAGCCCTCATTCTAGAGCGAATAGATTCATTTTCGTGCTCATCATCTATATTGATGCCTCCAATTGCAAAGAGATCAAATATAATCACTTCACCCTCAGTCCCCAAAAGCGATGGCAGTGGACAAGCCAGAGGAGCAGCAGGCCCCTGGCCTGTTCCGCGTTCCTTTTCATTTCCCATTATTTCGGATAGATACAATGTCTCTGGAGATAAATATTATTTGCCGAAAGACCTCCTTGCTGAAGAGGGCCAGCGTCCAGGCACTGCCGGTGCCTCTAATATTGCACTTGTTCATTCCATTCCTGCTTTGAAGCTTGTAAAACCTTTCTATAAGGCGTGGATAACCAAATCCGAGTTGCGATCCTTCCATCGATTTCCCTTTGGAGCGAAATACGCACCGAGGGTTACATTCAAGAAACGTGAAGAGGGGCTCCCCCTATTAAGTTCGTCTCCCGGAATGGATGTTGTCCTTCCACCGCATTCTGTACATGCCTCGGCCATGATTCCTCGTTCTGTCAAAGAGCTTACAATTGTTCCTAGCGATTCTATTGACCAACAGCCATCTCATCTGTTGCTGGTAGAGTATTCCGAGGAGTTCCACATTCTTGTACAAAAAGAGGGAATGGGTAGTCTCCTTTATCGATATTCGCGAGAATCTCGCACATCGCTTCCTACAACATCTCCAGAGGTGAGTTACACCATCGATTTTTAACATCTGGCCATTGAGGCCATTTCTTTTCCCTTATTTACATTTAATTGCTCCTTCAATTTTCGTTAATTCCCCTTTATTTTTAGGGCGCAATAGGGATTTCGATGACACTGGGCCGCCATGAACCCAGTCCATTTTTGGGATTTGGTGATGTGCGTCCGGGACAAACAGTGCTCTGCCTTCAAAATAATCTTTTCAGAGCTCCGCTATTCAAACACGAGTCGGCTAAAACAGACTTTCTGCTCGTGCGCCAATGGTTTGATGGAGTGATGCAGCCTTCAGTGTTGATGGAGTTTCCTGCAATTCATGTCGCTGGACAGACCTTGCCAATGGTTGAAGTTTTTGGTCCTCAATCTCGAAAGGCAAACATCTATTGCAAAAGCAGGGTTGAGGTAGCCGCTTATCGGCAGTTTCAACGCCCCGGGAACCTTTCAAGAAGGGCCAAAATATCAAAAATTTGCCGTGCCTTTCCTCAATTTCAGGAAAGTGTTCTCCGAAAGTGGCTGAAGGATATTTCGGATTACCTTCGCGTCAACAAGGATACGGGTTGGTGGATCCTCAAAAAAACGGCCCCTACACTCTCGGAAGACGAACTTCGAGCATTGATGACTCCAGAGATGGTTTGCATTTACGAGGCAATGCTTGCAGGCAAGCAACGACTCTTGGACGCGGGACTTGGACATCTGGCAGATGAAGATGGAAATCCAAGGGACGACGAGGACGAGTTCTCATCTCTCGTTACTGAAATCAAATTGGCACCATGGAGTATAACACGGAATTTTATTCTTGCCACACAAGGAAAAGCGCTTGTAGAGCTCAATGGGTCTGGAGACCCGACCGGCTGCGGCGAAGGATTTAGCTTCAACAGGATCCCCTTGAAAAGCAATACCTTTCATCAGAAGCGATGGTCAGCGTCTCCCGCGAACGACCAATCCGTGTTAGATGAGGACAAAAAGTATTCCATTGCCGAACAGCAACAGGCATATCGCGAGCAAATAATGAAAATATGGGATGCTCAATACAACGCTCTTTTAAACCCGAACAGGCTCTCTCAATATAAGGGCATTTCATATGAAGATCAGACAATGCTTCCTAATAGCTTCCATGAGCTGGATGAGGTTGACGAAATTGATGACGAGACCCTCTCACAATCGTCCTCTCTATCATCATCTTCGAGCTTAGGGATTTCCAGTTCTACCACCATCCCGCCCTTTCCAAAGCAATTGTTAATCAAGCGAAAAGTGCTTGGGGAAGATGGAACCAGTGTGCTTTACCAAACAGAGCTTATAAAAGATTCAAGGATCATTATTGAGTATTTGGAGCAGAAGCGGTTTGAGGAAGTGGCTCGCAAAAAGTTGGTTCATTTGCTTTCTAATTTCAGGAAAAGTAGCAGTGCTAAAATTGGTGGTGTACCCGCAACAACAAGTGCGCCTGTTGATGATGAAAGCGGGGCGCTACTAAAAAAGGCATGTTACCATATTTTGACGACCAGATGAAATGCGGAAATTGCGGACAATATGGCCACATGAAAACGAACCGTTCCTGCCCTATGTATTCCTGGGATCGAGTCACAGAAGAAACCGAGGAGGAACGAGCGGGGGATCAAGACGAAAAGGTGAAAATTCTTCTTAGACGACAGGCAATTTCCGAGCTTGGCCGAATTTTTGGCAAAATTGTCACGGACATCACTAATATCCCCAACGTAAGCCCGTGCAACTGATACGTAGAGCTGGCCATTCCATCTTCCTGTGCAGGAAAAAATAGCTCCTGGATACCATGCCATTGTTAAAAATCCGATGGACTTTTCCACGCTACGGAAAAATATCAACAATCGCAGATATAGCTCTGCGAATCAATTTCTGAGCGATGTTCAGCTAATCCACGAAAACTGCGTCACTTATAATGGTGCGGAACATCCCTTTTCTATGATTGCTCTTAACGTTGTAAGGGTAGTCGAAGAAGCTTTGGAAGGGGTTAGTTTATTGGGTTTCTCTCCTTTAGAGTTCAGCCAGCATTAAGGCGGCAGAGGGGAAACTTGGTCAGCACAGGGGAAACCCGGCCAGCAGAGGGGAAGCCTGATCAGCAGAGGGGAAACCTTTTCAACAAAGGGGAAACCTGATCAGCAGAGGGGTAACCTTTTCAACAGGGAAGAAAGTAGTGGGTGTTAGATTATGCAAAATAAAATTGATTCAAGACAAAGCCTCAACATTCCAAGCTTGATTAGCGCAAGGTTTAATTTAAACCACTTGAGCTCCCCCTAAAGCGTGTTGAAGGGCTTGACAATGGCCATTCTTTTARCCCTTCGAGACCTGGTATAAATCGAATCGGGAGAAAATCGGAAGCCTACATTAATAAAAAGGTATGTGGGCAATTGGGAGGCCGTTGCCACCATGGTTGAAAATTTCAAACATTTAAAATCTCCAAACTCAGCAAATGCATGATCTGCTCCTGAGCGCGCCAGTGCATGATTTGCTACGAAATATCGCGAAAAGCGTATTTGAACTAAGAGAGTCGATTCATTATCCTCATACGGACGAATTGCCTCCCCTTTCTGCGCTTGAACGGATGGTCGTGATATCTATTGGTCAAGACCGATGTCCTCCCAAGTTTGGCGGCCTTGATGCGCTTGAGAAGAAGATACTTCTTCTTTTGTACTCCTATTTTCTAGGGGCAGGGGAAGTGTTGCAAAAAAATCTCAAAAAAATATCGGACGCCCCTATATTTGACGGGAGGTCTCAAGAAAGCACTGGGGTATTTATTGCCCTATGGCAAAATTCCCTCCAATCAATCAAAAAAGAGGCTACAAAGAAGGTGCAAGTTGCCGAAGAATGGCATATGCCGGCTCTTGAGCTTTGGTATGACCTTTTGTTTTTGCAAAAGACTCTCACTCGCCTTTGGCAGCTTATTATTGAGATGGCATCTTTGCAGATTGTCGAGGAAAATCCTGATCCTGGATACCGACATATTGATCAGCGACTTGAACATGCCAACCATTGTTATCTTGTGCACGTATTGTTACAATTGGAAAAATTATGGAGCAATGCGCTTTCCCTCACGTCTGCTTTTCCTTGTGGAGGCAACCTTTTTGGTGATACCGGGCCTGGTAGGGCCTCCGGCCCGATGGTGAAAATTTTTTCCCAAATTTCGGTTATCAATAGGAGAGGAAGGTATCGGCGCTTGCTGATTACGTTGAATTTATATGAAATATCTGGCTGGATTTTCGTTGCATCTTCGTTGGATAAGCCTAGCTCGGTCTCTCTGGCCTCGTTCCCGACCCTTCATGAATTGGAGCAAAGAGAAGCCAGTGTCTTGTATGTTCAGCGTGTTTGTAACCAAAAAAAGGACCCATCTGTGCTAGAGATCTCTGAAACCGACCGTTCCCTGCCACAAATTGACGTCGACCTTATGAGCGTCAATCGAAAGCTTGGGCTCGATATTTGGTTTATTGGGACGGCTTTTGGTGTTGATTATCGGCATATCCAATGATCGATTGCCAATCGAGCCGGGCCTTCAAAGTGCGCTTCACACTGACAGATAGCATTGGTTTGCTCATTATGTTCGCATCGGGTCTCAATGGTGTACCTGCTGGATGCCAGTAACATTTACAACCGTATGTATGTCTGCATATAGCGAGCAACTGACCTTACGCACGCAGGGCCCGAAATATTGCCAATCATTTGGCTGAAATACTTTGCTTTACTAATAAATATCTATATGTCACTCTGCACCGCTTGTTTCGGTTGAGCATTTTTCCGGGAATACGCTGCTGCACGGGTTCCATCTAAGAGAGAGCATGGTGAGTCTCTTGCGGCATTCCTGCCATGTTCGTTTTGGGAGTGCGTAATGAATGGCTATCCAATTTGGTCCGTGTACTTCGTAAGCCTCTCTGAGGACAGCATCTTCGACAGAATTCCACCCTTGGCTACGAACCCTCCATCGAGGAAGGTGACGAGGAAGTGTAGAAGAAAGCTTTTCATATGGAAGTGGAATTCTTTTTTCTTCTTGGAAAAGAACCCATTTGGTTCCGACTTGGTCAAAGCCCTGCAAACGTGCATTCCATTCTGTTTCTTGAGATTTCGTCAATGGCTTCATTACCTTTAAAGCAGGAAAAGCGGGAGACTCACGCAGTCCAGCCAAATGGGCTTTTTTAATTGTCTCCTCAATTGCGGATCTTCTTTTAGCACTTTCAATTCCCATTTGCGGGTCTGGCTTTTCTGGAACCTGAAAGGTGGGCAGAATCGATTGTCTTAGCCAACGGCGACGGCATTCAACTGGAGATCGTCCAGGCAGTTGGCGGGAAATCAGAGCCCAAGATGGGCCCCAGTTTCCATAGTTTACAGAGATCGAGGCATCCTCCACCGGTGTCCACGCTTTTGCATATTTGGAAAGACCAATTTTTGGATGCATTTGCAAAATGTATTGAATGGAGTTATTTTAAAATGCATTGCGGAATTCAATTTGAGTGGCATGATTTCCAAATCTTTTTATATGGATGCACTCGACAAATGCTCGTGTCCTTACTTGGACACTCTGTCGAACAGAAGCCGATCAAAATCGCTCCCATTTGATGAGCGGTTATTTTTAAATTGGGCCTCTTCTCGTCAATATCTTTATTCGGTGAATGCCGATTTTGAAAACAATGGCTTGGTGCACGAGACGCATGAAATGCATGATGGGGAAGATTTTATTTTTCCTTGGAGTTTTTTCAAAGATCTTTCTATTAGCGACAAAGGCGGATCTGATTTGGATTCCTTGCCCAGCGAATTAAGGCCGTTGGTAGAGCGTGCGTTGGAAAAACTTTATCCATCGAAAGATGAACAGGCTTTTGCGCTTTTGGACATTTTGGGCCCAGAGCATTTTGAGTTGATACAGAAATTGTGCTCTTCAAAAGGCAAGGTGATTTCTCTTCCAATGACATCAAAATCATCACTGATCACCGAACCCACAATTCCAGGGATTTATTCGAAAAACAGTGTTTCAGAACGCCCTATGGTGAGGCACGCCGTTGCATTGCCTTCTGGAACGATACATGAATGCTATCCTGGTAGAGAATACTTTTGCCTGCCCGCTCAGCCTCCCTCAATTGAGACTTGGTGTGGAATATCAGAATTGGAAATTGCGAATATTTTTCCACATCCTCTGTTGGCAGCGGGTGGAAAAAACCTATTCCCATATTCCCATTTTAATCGGATGCAATCGGTGGTGTTTCCTACGGCCTTTTCCACAAATGAAAATCTATTGGTTTGTGCCCCCACTGGTTCTGGGAAAACAGACGTTGCCCTTATTGCCATTCTTAGGGTTATTTGGTCGCATTGCAGCGTTCAAGTGGACAGAGAAGATTCTTGTTTAACGCTGAAATTGGATCGACATGCATTTAAAATCATTTACATAGCACCGATGAAGGCATTGGCGGCCGAAATTTCTTCAAAGTATCGGCAAAGATTGGGATCCCTTGGAATTGTGGTAAACGAATATACTGGAGACATACGACTTTCAAGTCGAGAACTAGATGACGCCAATATTTTGGTTAGTACACCAGAAAAATGGGATGTGCTTACCAGAAACCCAGCCTTTTCTGATTCGATGTTGGGGGCTGCCGTTAAACTGATTATCATTGATGAGGTTCACTTGCTGCAAGATACTAGGGGCTCTGTGCTAGAAACAATTGTCGCCCGAACCCTGCGGTATGTTGAAGGTGCCCAAAGAATGGTTAGAATTATCGGGCTTTCTGCCACGCTTCCAAATTTCATGGATGTTGCGGAATGGCTCCGAGTGGCCGTTGGGAAAGGGCTTTTTTTCTTTGATGCTTCCTTTAGACCGGTGCCTTTGAAAGTGACACTTATAGGTCTTTCAAATACGCTTTTACGTAATCCCTCCGCAAGTGAGGAGGAACTAGCTGCACAAACATCAAGCACCAAAACTCATGTGCGTCCCGCAAAGGTCAACATTAACCAGTCATTGGACGTTGAGTTGCTTGAAAGGGTTAGGCCCGTCCTTTCTGACCAGCACCAATGTCTGATTTTTGTACATAGCCGATCTCAAACGATCCGCGTTGCCCGTTTATTATCGCAACATTTTGGACCTGCAAGCCTACTATGGAAATTAGATCCATCGCCTCGTGTTGAATTAAATGCTCTTCAAAGTCTTTTAGCATCTTCAAATGGCGCCGTTGGGATTCATCATGCAGGCATGTCTAGGTCTGACAGATTTACGGTGGAGAACCTATTTAGATCTCGGCGTCTTTCTGTTCTAGTTTGCACCTCAACATTAGCATGGGGTGTAAACTTGCCCGCTCGTGCTGTATTTATAAGGGGAACAGACATATTCAAAGGAAGTGAGTCCACCGGAGGTAGTGGAACTTGGGAGGATTTATCTCCTTTGGACATATTACAAATTTTCGGTCGAGCAGGTCGTCCAGGGCTTGACAATGCCGGAGAAGCAACTCTTCTGTGTCCCTCTGGAGTGCTTCCAAAATATCTGCTTTCGCTTTCTCCCGTTAATTCGATCCCAATTGAAAGTACGTTTGCCACAAACCTTGATACTCACCTTAATGCAGAAATTAACTTGGGAACAGTTAAATCAGTAGAGGATGGCATATCTTGGCTTTCGTATACCTTCTTGTGGGTGCGAACTCGTCAAAAGGGCACTCGTGGTATAAAATCATTGCAAGGTGTTCTCCAGACATCCATTGACCGCCTTTTATCTATTGGTTTGTGTACAAAGGTCCAAAAAAGCGATGCCAAATTTGACCAATTGATACCAACAGAATTTGGTGAAATCGCTTCTCGTTTATATTTAAGCGTGGAAACCGCTATGGGGTTTCATACAAAGTTGTCCGAGCTGTCGAACTTATTGACCCATCTTTCGCCGAAAAATATTATCTCTTCCTTGATTCGGATTTTTTCAGAGGCTTCGGAATTTTTAGATTCCATTAGGATGCGATCCGCTTCTGGAGGCGATTTGGAAGAAGAAAATCTCCTTCGAACGCTTGTGGGATCAAAACTGTGGCTTCAACGTCAGGATTTGGAACATTCCGGGTTTCAGACCAAATTTATTGGAGGATGGGATAACCCATCGAGCAAGTTGGACCACAATAGTGGCCTGGTTCCGTTGTTTGACTGCTCCTTGGCAGATTGGACCTCATCTTCTACGAAAGTTTCTATTTTATTTCAGGCCTTCATTTCAGGATGGGGAAATTCGCCATTTTTCCCGACTTCTTCTTCCAAAGGACACAATAAGAAGCTGGATGCACAAAAATACGACTCGCCCGATCTTCATTACATCACGTTAAACGCAAGCCGGTTTTTGAGGGCTATTTTTGAAATTTCACTTAAAGTTATCAAGAATTCAAAACTGTCATTCCTGGCTCTAGAGTTATGCCGCTGTTTTGAAAATAGAACTTGGAGCTCGTTTTTATTGTCTATGGATGACTGGTGGAATTCAGAATATCTGATCAAGAAAGCAGGAGGAATTCCATCGCCTGAGCTTGTGTCTCAGCTTGATACGCATTACAAACTGCAGTTGCAATGTGATGGCTGGAGTAGAGTTTCTCCATTGCAGTTAGCGCTGTTTTCTATTGTTGAAAATTCGACCAACAAGACCGGATCAATTGACGGAGTTCCACTGATTAGTGTTGAAAATAGAAGATCTCATGTATTGCAAGTGGTCAATGACACCCTTATTGTGGATATCTTATGGGATTTATGCTGCAACAGCAAAAAACATGAAGAGGTGCATTATTGGGCAGTCATTTCGTTTCCGTTTGACTCTAAAATCATTTGGGTAGATCAATTGATGTTGGCAAAAAACCAATGTCATCTTGCGTGTAAAGTGACCGTTAGCATTCCTTTTGATATGTTTAAAGGCGACCAAAACATGAGCCTCTCGTGCTTGTATTTGGATATTTTGAGCAACTCGACGTTGGGGTTAGACGTCACCGATGTACCTATATCCTTGGGTACTTTTAATTTTGCTCAAGAAACCGAGTTTGAGCCAAATCTTCAAGACGCTTTTGTGCATCCAAAATCCATATGTAATTCCATACCACAGGAAGCCTTTCTTTTGGGGCGTGGAAGGGCATCCTTGTTATTTCCAGCTGTTCAACGCCCATTTTTGGAGGTGTCTCGGGCTATTCATTCTTCAATACTGAAAGAGTTTTTGTATTCTAAGGGAGTATATTCTCTCTCTGCAATACAGTCGGTTATGGCAAGACCTCTTCTTTATCCATTAAGCGGTAGCGAAAATAACGTATCTTGGTGTAATGATAAAAGATTGATCACAATCCTTGCTCCTCCCAACTCAGGTAAAGGACTTGCCGTTGAGTTGGCAATATGGGGGCTTTTTCAAGCGAATCCAAAATCCAAAGTATTGGTTGTTGTACCTGACCCATTTTTTTCTTATCAGCTAATCCAACAATGGTCTTTTGTTGATTCAATTGCCGGAATTCTTGGTATTTCACCATCCTCTTCATTAGAAGGGTCGCTCATCGTTTCTAGTCCAGTGGAAATCTTGAAATGGAACTCGACTCAATTTTCGCTGTTGAATAGTCATAAAGACATCCCGCTTTTGGTTGTCGTATTTGATGTTGAAAAGATTGGAGATTGTGCAGAGTTTGAGGCTTCTTTAACTCTCTTGAGATATTGGACACATTTTCTTCCGCTCTGTCGTTGGTTAGTATGTGGCAGGCCATTTTCATCGGCCCCTGATGTGGTCAGGTGGTTGGGTTTGCATGAATCGCTTTCATGGTGCATGTTTTGCGGGCCTGAGGTTGCTCTTTCTCCTCAACCGCAAATTACAACACGAAGCACCAATCGAATGCCCGGCGCAATCGCTATTGAGATTTCCAGAATCATGCCCTCTGATGCGCTGCTCGTTGTTTGGGTACATTCGAGACGCTTTTGTAGGTCATTGGCCTCAAAATTATCGATGATACTTGCTCGCAGCCAAATTGGATTTTCGGATGAATCCATTTTTTCTTTTAAAGACGAGCTACTGCAAAGGACAATTTCTCAAAGTGGGGTTGCCTTCTTACTGCCGTTTGAAAAGGATTCCCTAATATGTTCAAGTGTGTTTATCAAAGTGCTAATAGTGGCCATCACATCCTCCCATTCATCGTCCTCATCTTTATTTAGTACCGTTCATAAAATATCATCTGGTCGCCCAATCGATAGCGTGATAATTTTGCCGCATTTGCAAACGGCCTCTTCAGTCGAGGCTTCTTTATATTATTCGGCTTGCCATCTTTCTCAAATGGTATCTATCGCCAAGGGCTCCCCCGGCCATAGACGGCCAAAGAGCATATTTATGGGGCCTTCCTTTTTATGTTCCATTGCGTCATCGTTAATCCAAGCTGAAAACGGGTATAAATTGCCGATTGAGAGCAAGCTTTGTGTGGCTTCTTTTGGCGAACAAAAGCCGCCTCCTTACGAGCACGCATTAAGCATAGACGCATTTCTGATGGCTTCGCTTATTGCCTCTAGACAGTTTAGTGAAGTGGCACACTTTACCATTCCCATCTGCGAAATCGAATCTCTCTTTAAATGGACGTTTTTATTCCAGAGATTGCAATCTAACCCGTCGTTTTATGATTGGAGCAGTATTTCTGCCCTTGTAAAAGAGAGTCTCATTGTGCTAAATGCTCAAGGTTGTATTTCTTTCAATGCAAGCTCCGATTTTATCACCGTACTTCCGGCCTGCAGGCTGGCTGCTCTTCACTCCTTTTCTCCGGAAACAATTTCTAAACTAGACAAAGGACTGCTTTCATTGTGGAAACATACATACTGATTTATTACCACCATTAATATGTCATGCAGACCTATTCTTTTGTAACTTTGGAAAAGATCCATGAAGCTACAAAGTCTATAATTAGCAAAATCCAGTGCCCGCACAAAAACAACCCCAAATGTGTTTTGATTAGCACGTTGCTTGGGTCAGCAATAGAAACAATAGATTTAAAGGAAACCATCACAGTCACGATTGCTGCAATTTTAACTACCATGTATATGAACCCATATAGAGAAGGAAGTAATGGCGATATTCTTTCTTTTGCCCATTTGAAAGGAAAATCAACAATGGCTAAAGTGCAGGACAACTGAGTATAAAATACTAAAATTCGAAAAATTCCGAGCATGTAATCAGTGTCTTGCTTTTTGAGCTCTTTGTTTTCAGAGGATTTTTCCACTGGAACAACACTAGCATGATCACCAGAATCATCAGGATCGGAGTTCTCGTTTTGCCTAGCAGATGCAACAGCTGGTTTGAGGTTACTCATTTCCTTAAAGTTTCTATAATAATAATACCCGAATAAACAAGATAAAAAAACCCTGGAAATAGTATTGCTAAGTAAAAAGATCGCAAAATTAGCCACACAGAAAAACATAACTAGAAAATTCAAGCCGTCCTTCCCAAGCTTATCGGAAAGTATCTGGTTGAAACTTTTTTCAGTCTGCAATACACCATTGGTATGAATAATAGGGCTCGCTGCCGCCGCAATGCTAAGATATGCGCAGAAAACCAAGACTCCAAAGAAAATCCAATTCATAGCTGCAAAGCTAATCCGGCAACCATAAAGTAACCGTGAATTGTAAATTCTATTGGTACAAGTGTGGCAGCGTGTAGACTAATTAGATTGATTTTACTCCAAATTTTAAATTTACAACTTTAGTAAAAACGGTGTTTTTTGTTTGTAAAGAAAAAACGATGGAAAATTTTCGATAAAAGGCAAAAAATGCAATACATGATAAACAGCGCCATCGGGAGCAGGGTGAAATGTGCCTTATCAAATAATTCGGTAACCTCTTTGACCTTAAATAAACCTCTTAACTCCATAGCTATGCCAAATTGTAAAGCGATAATTGTGATCAAAGTATAAATAAGAGATGAGAAAATATGACTTTCCAATCCTAGAACGATTGCATATACGGGTAAAGCCTGAAAACAGAATACAATCAGCTTGCAGATGTCTAAAAAAGCCTCATGAATAGTGAGGTCCCTCTGTTCTTCCGGTTTAACTGCAAATAAGGAAACAACTTTGCTCATAACGCTTTCAGGGGGCTCTTTTACGGGCGTGCTTTCAGCCGAGGTAGTTAGAGATGAGTCTACCCCTTTTGGCGATTCGGCTTTAACCGTACTAAATTCAGATAATTCTTCGCAAAGGGCAAAACTGAACAGAATATAATACCTTCGCATGTTTTTCTTTACGGCCTGACACCAATTTGAGAAAGAAAACAAATTGCTAATACTCTGTTTCCAAAATACTACAGGCACCGTAATCCACAAAAACAAGACGCAGTGAAACAAAAATTGTAATAATCCAGGATAGAAAATATCGACCATAATAGCATCAAAGATGGCTAGACCAACAAAAGATAGATATGAAGAGCGCAGAGTATGCAGTGCTGATTCATGGACTTTTAATACATAACCTTGCATAGAAAAACAAAAACCTGTGCATCACGAGAAAGGCAGAATTAAGAAGGATCGCGCGATTGGCGACAGAGCCAACAAACCAAATCAAATCAAATCAAATCAAATCAAATCAACTGAATGGAATTGAAAACTAAAAGTTTCAAACAAAATTAGGGTAACTAATGTTTTTTATTCAAATTGGCGTCATTATCGCTATACGAGGGCAACTCGGGATTATTGTAAATTGCATCGGAATCCGGTGCAATCAATTGGGACGACTTGGTTGAAATGGAGCCTTGAGTTGGCGTTTCCCTCACCTCATCATAATACTTCAACTTGTACTGATTGAGACGCTGGGCAAAGCGCTCCCTTCGCGCCGTAGATGGCTTGCTGCTGCAAAAACAAAGATACGCAGGAGATACCTTCCTATCAAGAATCAGACTGCCTGATGGGATCTGTGACGAGAGCAAAGGGAAAATGGCTGCCCACGCCACCCCGTCCGCTGCTTGCTCTGTTGTTCTGCATTTCTTCTTCATGGAAGATAAGGTTGTCGAGGACAAGTATTTGAGCGCGGAATTGTTGACCAATCCGGGATTTACACCGTAAAAATGAATATCACGATGCACGGCTGCAAAATAAATGATCAACTCCATCTGTTGCCGCTTGAAATTTGCGTAGGCCCGTCCTGATTTAAAGGACTTTTTCCAATTACTGCCTTCTAGATTGTTCGGCAATAGAGATCGTCTCAAGAGGGCGGGATTTTCGATCACGATGACCCTTGCATGCGGATATTTGCCAGCTTCTCTGGAGGAATCAAACAAATTCAGGTAAATCAGTTGGGACAAAAGGCAATATAACGATAGCACATGAGAACAAAAATCTGGCTGCATCGGTACCTCCTCAGTGGGCTCATTCCAATGCGCTTGTACCGATTCTTCTTCAAAAAGAACAATTGACAAGTGGTCCGACAGAGCATGCAGATCCTTAGTGAGCTCTTCAATAAAAGCCTTTACTTGGTGAATATTAGAGATGTCGTGGATGTATAGCTTTGGGAGAAAAGAGCATGAGCTAGGGTAAGAACTGACTATTCTACCCAGTGCATCGGTACCTTTTTTTTTGTCAGCGGACAACACATATAATCGACAGCCTTTCTTGGCCAGCTCGATTGCAACTGCAAGAGCAATTGGATTGTGCACGCCAACCACCAGGGCGGCAGCCTTGGAAAGAGAGGCATTTTCATAATCACTTTCATCAAAAGAGCTACAAGCACGGTCATAGGCATCTTGTGTAAACGTACTACGACACTTCATCGACCAAAGCAAATTTTTTATCCCACCCATGCAATGGGGATCTGAAAACTGCTCGCTTAAATTGCCCTCAACATGAAACAAAAGTTTAAAAATCAAATGGTTTGTTAAAATTGCAAAACAGAGTTTGCAACATTAGCCCAATCATGGGCCAATTTTTTTCAATTGATTCTGCTCTGCTCGGTCCTCTCCTCCATGTCAGGCAATTCGAATCGATCAGGGGAAGATATTAAATCCGTTTCCAAAAATATTCTGGAACTGCTTAATAGAAGAGCATCGTCCGTTAAGAATATTTTGTAAGGGCTTTTTCCTAAATCCCTAGTGGCTCAGATGACGATGAGGATGATGATCAATCTCTAACGGTCGATTTTTTGGAAGACGTAGAAGAGGATGATGGCGGCAGTCCAGTTCACCCAAAAAAGCCCTCCAATTTTTCTCGCAGGACTAAAAAGTATTCAAATGAGGAAGATGAGATCTATGAGGACCAATATGTGAAGCAGCCAAAGAAATCTAAACTTTCAGATGATGAGCTTGTCTTTTCAGACGGATACGACGATGACCTGATGGGCGATGCCATCGATAGGGAAAGGTAAGTCCCCGTTCAACATTTTCCTTTTCAGGCTTTTCGCAATGACAGAGGTTGAGAGGGAAAATGTCCTTTTTGAGCGAGACCTTGCTAGACAGAAAAAAAGAGAACGCTGGGAATTGCACCGAAAATTACAGAAAGACAAAAAGCCCATCAAACAGCCTGATTGGATGCGAAAAACAAGCACCATCGATGTGGACGACGACGAACATGAGCATCTGCAGCCTTTTCGCGCTGATTATGGAAATCAAGAGCATGCTTCTTCGATCAAGAATTTTTGTGCCGCAAAAAAAGAACCCGTAGTGTTGGACGATACTGTTGAGCTGGAACACATCCTTCCCATCTGTTTAACTAGGTCCCTGATTGAAAAATGGCTGTATCGTTCGTTTTTTAAAACCGACCTTGCTGGCTTTTTTGTTCGGCTTTCTCTTGGCGTGGATCCCAATCGTGGTGAGCAAGTCTATCGGCTATGCCAAATTGATTCGGTGGTCGAATATTACAAGACGTACACGGTCAATGCCTCTGTCACAAAGTCTGCCTTCAACTTGCGCATCGGAAAGGCATTGAAAAAGTTTGCCATCGACGCAATTTCAAATTCTCCGCCCACTCAAAAAGAATTTGGCCGCTGGCTGATGGAGCTGCGTCATTCTAATTGCTACATAATGAGGAGGAAAGAGGCAACTTCTCTCGCGGAGAGAGTAAAATTTCTTCTCAATTCCCCGATGACGGAGAAAGAAATTGATTTTGTCGTCAAAGAAAAGCGGAAATTAAATGTTTTGAAAAGAAACCCTGCCTCTGAAAAGGCATTTTTAATGAAGGAGCGAGAGCTTGCCATTCAGGCTGGCATGGCTGATGAGGTCGAGAGGATCAATACATCGCTCAATATCCTAAATCAAAAAATCTCCGATTCCAATGCTGCAGGGAATTCCAGAGCTGATTCGATGTCTGCAATTTTCGAAAGGAACAGGCGTATTAACCAGGCCTCGGCAGATGCCGAGCTTGAACGCAAAAGGGTGTCCATCCTTAACGGTGGGAATGGCTCTTCTTTTTCAGATGATTCCCTTAATCCCTTTTCTCGCAGAAAAACAGTTTCTACTTATGCTAGCATTGTTGCTTCCACGACCTACAAGGAAGAAGAGGAACACAACAAAGATTTCCCTTCCGTTCCTGTGCCCTCAAATGGCGGCCTCCCTGCCGATGGCCAAGAAAAAGCCTCAAATGGTACTGAGCCAAATTCTTTGGTAAAAACTAGCGTGATATTGAAAGAAAATATTTCATTGGATGACTTGGAAATCGACATCCCTGGTATTTGACCCTTTTTTACCTGTAGCTTTTATCAAATCCAAGCCCAGATGCTCATCCGATCACATGCCATCCCAATGTACCAACAAAAACAATCTACCCATTCTAGACTCGCTCAAGTAAAGCAAGAGCGTGTTCAAATTTTGCCAATTAACTAATGAAGGGGATAAATAGAAATGCAATAAGTTTGTAGTATACATCATACGGCTTTGTAGCTCTTAATAATAAATTATTTATGGCGAATTTATTGAAAGATCATCATTCTTTGTCGATGAATGGGTTTTCTATTTGCATTGAACCATGCACCGGGTTGACCGCCAAAACACAAGGGCCTCTACAAATTAACTGTCCAAGCCTTCTAGTTGTCGCTGGTTCATCGCCTCTTGTGAGCGTCTCAACAGCATCATCCAACACCAGATTAAAAAGCGCATCATGGCTTCGTAGTATGCCGACGACTAATGAAATCAAGCCAACAATAAAATGCTACCTTGACGGCCACCGGAAAGCTTGACATGTACAGATGAGTTGACAAACTTGTCAAATTGAATGGCAAACTCCTTGGTATTTTTGCCTTTGTCTGCCGACGATTGCATTTTAGAAGACTAGTAATGATGAGTTTGCAGAGGTAATACCATCCGGTGTAATTAAATTTAATTAAATCGAAAATTTTCGTTTTTGTTAAGCATGTCACTACAATGACCTTTATTGCAGCGAACAGTCAATTATTTAACATAAAAAATCAAAATACAAGCAATCCTATAAACGATTGGCGGCCATCAGTAATTCTCAACAAATTCCTTGCCATACATCAATCAGGATAGTAGAGGGCATCAAGACAAATCCTGTGTATCGAGTGGCGTTTGGTAGCTAACCGCGAGGCCCTAATAAACTGCCCTCGAATGTAATACAAACTAAAAATAGGAGGGCATACATTTCATACCTATTATAAGTAACGACTCTGGTAAGGTTTTGAGCCTGGTCGAATGGATCCTCTATACAAAACCAAAATGAATCTCTTGGCGTGTTATTCTACGAGAATAAATAAATTTGGGGAATACTTGAATCGACCATTGCTTAGATTCTTTGCTGAGTGCCTTTCCAGTTCTGGGGGAAACAATTTCCGTTGAAAAGGAAAAGGTTTGGGTATAAAACCTAAAAAACCCCGTCAAAAGGGGATATAAATTCCTGCCCATAGCTTGACTTTTTACATTGGGATATTTTGAGTGAGACACGCGATGATATAACATTTTTTTAAGAGAAAGGACATCCGAGATGTACTTGACCGAGTATTTACCATCAACTATAGTATCAACGACGCCAGACTCGTTTTTGTCTGCATCATAAAATGAGGATATAAAGTCTTTAAAAGATGGCTCTGATGAAGATATAGAGCATTGAGCCAATAATTCTGAAATCGAAGATTCACATGGAAGGGACGAAGGCAGCTGTGCTGTTTTTCTCCATTCAATGAATTCGTCAATCAATGAGTTACTGGTTAGAATTGGGAGGATGGGATTCTCCCCTTGTTGCAGATAGAATACCAGCATCATGACGAGGCAATATGAGGAAAGTGTACCCCAATATGAATCGTTCATGGCACGCTTTCTTGCCCACCACTTTATAATACGGGCCAAAGATAGGACCCTAGAATCATATTGGCCATATAAGAATAAAAGCCGAGTATTATGCAAAGCAAGCGAGTTATTCACCCCAATATCACATGATATGCCGGTAACAGAATCCTTAAGCTTAATAATGGGGACTCTAGCCCTGGTCAGCACCTTGATCTGTATGAACCTGCTATGGGACATTAAAGCGGCCCCAAGGCGAGTTAGCACCGACTCGGCAATGGTAGAGCTATTGTGCTCATCTTCTGCATTTTCATCATTAGGCTTTGCAACAAAAAGGCAAAAATCAACATCAGCCCCACGAAGTGAAAAGCCATTTACCGTTGATCCAAACCTAACTAATCTCGAAGTTTTGAAAAGCTCGTTGGTAATATCTGAAATTGCATTGAATATCAACAGTTGCTGCTCCAGCTCCAAAACGGTTGGTTCTAGATATTTTATGAGAGATGCAATCTCTGCCTCCTGCTCCATGACGGCAGCTGAAGGCCAGACCGGTAATCCAAATTGGTCGAGATTGATGGAAGAATGAATGATCTTCCCAGAAGGAGATGTACCATGCAAGACTTCTAAGGCGTATGAACGTGTAGGATATGGGCATCCAATATCTCTTCCCTCAAAATAGTGCGATGGAGACACGATGGAAATATTTTCTCTCGAATTACCGGGGCACATGTGTGGCATTGACGAGGTCCCGTTTCTAGATGGATGTTCAAGCTGGCCATAAGGGTAAATAGCCCTTCCATGGTCGTGATGGCGAAATTTCACATTGAAGTTGTTTTTTGGCAAAAAATCGCTACTAGCAGATGGGTTCCATCCATTTATCGGGGATATTACAGGGTCCCCCATAAACGGAAGCGAAGTGGTAGCCCCAAGCTTGAGCTTTCCAACAGCTCCATTTCTACTATCGTGATCCACATTACTAGGTGGTGCAATATTTTTCTCTTTTAAAGTACTCATTGACGGCTCAGTGGACTCTGGACTCTCTCCGTCACAATATATCGAGGTCTCCAGGGACGATGGTACAACTTGAGTAGAAGGTGGCAGGGAAGTGCGAACATTTCCATTAGATATTTGCTCGGTCATGAGTTTAGGCAGATATGTAATTAAATAGGCTTCAAAAATGGGGCAACGTGGAGTTTGTGATGAGTATGAAAGTCACTCGGGTAGCAACCAAGAATAAACTTTACTGACACCAGGAAATAAAGTTGATGAATCCTTGATAAGGGTTGATGAAAATGCTGGAATAAGCTATTCGAAATGCGACTCTAGAAGGGATGGTGAGAGGAAAGCTAAATGCCCAAAGTGAGGGGTTTGACAACCAGACCCTAGGAGAAATAAAAAGTTGCGATGCAACTCATGCGACCTTCTAAATTTGGCATCAAAGTATGGACCTGTTTTTAGTTGATTTGAACATTTTAGTTGCACTGCTGCTGTTGTTTGTACATTTATTCTAAAATTTTCCGACACGTGTTATCGTGGCCTTTCTATTCCTAAATGGCTTCAGGGTTGCGCCATCTTCTTTAATCGCCTGAGCTTGGGCTTTGCTATCAAACTGTTTCGGCATGTGCCATTCTTTTAAGCATTTTTCATCATTGCAATCTTTAAAGGCAATATTACACAGGTCAGCGCTTTGACGTTTTTCAGGCTTTAAAGATTGCATGGCTCTAGTTTTCCTGGCAGATAAAAGCGATTCGATTTCAATAGGGTATTTTAAGGATGCATTGCAAATGGGACACTTTCGTACAAGTGGATCAAACGCTTCACATATTATCTGGCCACAGTCTATGCATTGAAAAAACACTGCGTGCGAAAGGCCCATACAGGGGCAGAATTCGTTCCCCAGTGGGCTCATTTTTATTTTCTCTTTTTTTAAAATTTAAATGCCTTCAAAATCGAATATCTCTTCTTTGGAAAATAAACTTAAGGCCTCCAAATTTCGATGGCTAAATGAAAAATTATATACAACCACAGGGGACAAATCGCTTTCTCATTTTAAAGCCAATCCGGAGCTTTTTACGCAGGTATTTTTGTCTTGCAGTTAAAGTTCCATAGTATCACGAAGGGTTTTCCATGCAGGTCGGGCTGTGGTCTGTGAATCCTTTGGATTTAATCATCGATGAACTGCTGTCCTACATTGATAAGCGCGCTAAACTTCTTGCTCCACTTGTGATTGCAGACCTTGGATGTGGTGAGGGCAAGCTTGGAACATCACTGTCTTTGCTTGGGGTGGAAGTTTACTCATTTGATTTGGTATCCACACAAGAGCATATCATTGCTGCAGATATTTCAAACATCCCTTTGTCCTCAAGTAGCGTTGACATTGCTGTTTTTTGCCTCTCTCTAATGGGAACAAATTGGCCAGATTTTATTGACGAAGCACTTCGGATTCTTAAAGAGGGGTAGTGCTTTCTATTTTATTGTAGTGGTTTTCTTTACATTGCTGAGGTTCGCTCTCGCTTCGATTCCGGTATCAAGCCATTCGTTGATCAGCTGCAAAATTTGGGTCTCAAGCTGCTAGCAAAGGTAAGCATGTGAAATGAGAGGTTTATCTGCATTTAGGATGAAAAAAACTCCTATTTTATTAATTTCAAATTTGTCAAAGAGGAGCGAAGGCGACAAGTTAAATGCAAAATCTCAACCTTTCTACTCAAACCATGCATTTATAAAAGAAGGTAGATGCTCACACATTGCTCTGCCTGTAAACTCGGGTATCAATTATACTTGAGCCACACAATGAACAGATCCCTTTAGCATAAGCGCAGCCTATTGACATTAAACTTTAACACCAAACCATGGCAAAATTTGGCTCCAATCTGGAATAGTTTACTGGGACAAAGTGCACAGCTTTTTCCTGAAGATGCCGATCGTTTGCTTTCTCCATAAGCTAGCGGTTAACATGAATTCAAAACTACGTCTCAAAGTGGCGGTGGATTTGAGCTTCGCTTCACAGTTAGTGCAGGCCATCGATGAGAAAGCAAGACAAGTTACAAATTCAAAACTTTATTGGAAAAATAATTTTAAATTAACAATGCTGGCAGCTTGTTCGTCCTCTGCAAGAAGTACAGATCGATTCAGCGAAGCTTTGGGAGAAAAGTTGCTTCAGGGTTGGGCTATGCTTGATTCTTCATGCCCAAAATGTCCCTCCATCCCTCTCATGCGGCCGCGGAATAGCGAAGAACTCTATTGCGTTTCTTGCAAAGCTTATATATCTGCGAGTAATTCTCAAGCAGCATCTGAATGTTTGAACATGAAATCAGAAAATGCGTTTCCTGTAAATTCTTTTCAAAACCAGGAAGCGGCCGCTGTAGTGACAAACGCTCTCTCTATACTCCAAATATCAATTGCTAAATCATTGGAAACGGATGCTCAATTTATGGGCACTTCCTCGTCTTCCTTGGATGCAAAAACCTTATCCAATGTTGAAATGAAGCTCAAATTGATCCAAATGGCCCATGATCTTTACTCCAAAATAAAATAATTGATGGTACCCGATGTCAGTGAGTTGATTTTAACGATTTCAAGTTTGGATTCAAAATTTTAAAATGGACAGTTGTTTTGTTCCATGGGAAAATGTCCCTATAGATGAGTGGCCAGAAAACCTTGATCTTGATGATGCAATACCTAGCGATGAATCAATCCCAGATATTGTACCAAACGATGGTGTTGCTGCATCGATAAATTTCCAAAGAGGTAAGACGAGATGTCGTTGTTCAAGTCAAGGTCCTCTGCATAAGATGCTGCTGCGTCATCTTTTGGAACTACAGGAGGTCAAAGATGCACATGGAAGTAAACAGATTTCTCATCTGAACCTCCAGCTAATGAGCGCCGAAAACACACTACAAGACCAGTTAGCCCAGGAGATTCGCATCGCTTTGAAAATATTAGAGACCAAAACCATGGTAAGTTTATCTTTTTCGCTTTCTTAGGCGCATCTAGACTCCAAATTGGAGGCATTAAGACGAAAGCAGCTATTGGAACTGCAAGAATTACTTTTTGTGCATCAGTTAGAAATGAAGGAGCTCTCCACTTGTGTAAGGTTGAAAGTACCTATTCGATTTGCTGTTTGTTTATTTGGTTAATTTAGACCTTTTCTGGGCTTGAACTTGTCGATGTTCATACTATTTCGCTATCTGAGTCATCCGTAGTATTTCCTTTTGAATGCTTGGCAGGGATCGAATTATCCAAAATTCCAGAATTCATAAACTTGAAAGATGTTTCTTCCCTTTCAATTGAACGGACCTTTGTAGTGACCTCAAATAGCGAAGCCATCTGCACTGCAAATGGGTACCTAGAAGAATTATTGGCGCTCCTCTCAAAAAACCTCGTATTGCATCAATCATTATCTATCTTTAGACGCAATGCTTTATACACAGAGGATATCCTCTATATAAAAATAGTGCACTTTTGTTCTTACACCCAATTCAGGTTCTTAGGACATTTCCCGATATTTCCAGAAGAATAGCAACATCACCTCCCCTGACAATTCCGATTGGCGCAATCTGTATGCCTGCTATGCTGATAACAGAATATGTTGAATAAGTGACACTTGGTTTTTCAGTAGCCATTATCTAAAAAGCAAAATTGTACTTCAAATCATGGCGTCATTAATAAAAGCTGGCCCTATTTACATGACAAAATCCATATTTTAAATATTTTTTATTGCTGATTTCTGAAAGCATATCGATCTGAATATGCTAATATGAACGCTACAAAGAGGCTAAATAATTTTACACCCTCAACTCAGCTTGATAGATGCAGGCGTCTCTAAAAGCGAATCGAGCACTTGATAGTTGAATTTTTTTGAAAGCTTCTTATTGCTACTAATTAAAGTTTTGGCTGCTTCAGAGGGCGTTAAATGGGATGAACTTGGACCTTCTGCACTGTTGAAATATTGCTCCTGTTTTCTTTTTCTGGTACTTCTTTTTACAGGAGGTTGGGAAATTCCAAGCTTTTCTTGCTCAAGCATAAACTGGGCCTTTTCTAAAATCCTCAAATATTCACAATTACCTTCCTGTTGCAATATATAATCCTTATTGGCCTCATGCCAAAGTACAGATTTTGCCTCCATTTCAGCTTCTGCAAGTAATGCGGACGAAACCTCTTCATCGACATCTAGAATCGAAAGATCAGAAATTGGATCTTCGTTGAGCAACCGAGGATCAATCACTAAAATGGAAATAAAAAGCATATGTTGGTGTACATAAAAGCTGCGCAAGTCTCTGCTCCTCAAAAATGCGCATGTGTTCAGATTTAATCCTGTCCTTTTTCTTTGCCAGTGACGGCAAAGAAAAAGAAGGCGGGTCAATTTCTTCCTCTAGCCATACCCCATGAAACTCTTCCGGTGTAAGCTTTGATGATGGAGTGCGTGAAAATTCTTCCAGCCGTCTTCGAAGCGTCATGTCACATACACGTACGACTGCTAGAATTTCTTTTTGTGATCTAGAAAATCCATAAATGCGCGCAGCTATAAGCAAGCCTAAAGTAAACGCAAATCAATATACAGGCCCCGCAAACGCCAGCAGGTCGACGACCAGTTTGTATCCAATCACGCTTCATTCTAGATACAAGGCGAAGAGCAGTGGCGGTGACCATGGAGGTTTTCTCTCCAAATTCAAGACGAGAGGCAAAACGGCCAATGTAGAGCGAGGGATCGACAAGAGGAAGATCCAAGTTTAACAGCCGGCAGAGCTTCAAAAAGACACTCCCAAGAGCAAAAACATTCACTCTTAAAACATCAGAAAAGTCTAGAAGCATATGAGGCGTTTTTTCTTGACGACATACAATATAGAGACATCCAGCTGCAACTGCCTGGGAGCGTCTTCCGCGCGTAAATTGATGTTGATATGCCAAAATAAACCAGCGATGAGCTGCATTAATGTGATGCTCTGACATTCCAAGAGCGAAGCCAAGAGCTTGCAGACGCAAACGTGCTTGACATATCGTAACTTCTCTAGAATCAGAAGGCTGATAACGGCGATATGATGATCCAGGGGAGACTCCCCCTTTAAGAGGCATAACACCACCAAGCATTCCAAGAAGGGCAGTTGACTTTTCTGGAACAAATTGGCCTTGCATCACGCTAGCCCCAGACGCACTTTCAGAAAAGGTTATCTCAGAAACAATTGCATTTTCCTCAAGCACGGTACCACAAATAGTACAAAAGGAGTTTCCCTGGGCTTGGTCATATTCAATTTCATTCGCTCCACATGCTAAACATCCAGAGGCTGATGTAACAGAAGGGATAGAGGAACCCGTGGCTGAACTGGGAACAGACGACGAAAATGCATTCATAAAGTCGAGTTGTAAAAGTTGAATTTGATTAAACAGCGTCCTAACCCTAGCCCGTTCAAAATTTTGCCCCTATAAAGCATCTTGTAGCGTTTAAATTTTGTTTATCTGCATAATTAGCATTTCATTTATTTATTGGCCAAAATTACCGTGTAAATGCAAGTTTTTTTAAAAAAAAATCTTGAATTTAATCGAGTTTCAGTTTGGATTGGCAGATGATATTTTTTTTACAGCAAAACCGATGCATAGATGAAATCCTTCACTTTTCAAATTGAATACTCATTTCTTAGAGGAACCTGAATTCATTCCCTATGTTTTGGCACGTCTGTGATTCTATAATTAGCGACTCTTTGATTTTGGTGTTGAAATCGATAATATGAACCGATGATAATCATTTATTTCTTTCTATTTAAATTTTAATTGGTAATAACGGTTATAAGAGGATACAATGCCAGCTGTCTTTATTTTTTAGGGTACTATTTATCCTATTGTTAAATTTAGAATATAAACAAATGACTTATTATCATCGGTTGATAT